ATATTTAAAAAAATATATAGCAAGTATTAAACCCTGCTTTGAGGCCCCAAATGTTGCTTTTAATGAAATCAGCAGCATCAGGCTTGTCTGGTATTACAGGGAAGCTGCAGTCACATCCCCAGCTTAGAGGGGTTTCTCTTCATTTCTACTTACTTAGCAGCTTCTGTATTTGTTTCACTAAATCCAGGGGCCTGAGCAGCTATTAAACAGCATGGAGGGCAACTAAACAACGCAAAGCTCTGCAGAGAAAGATTTGTCTGTCTTTCCTCCTTCCATCATTCCTGCCTCTCCTCCTTGGCTTTCTCCACCTACCTACCATCACATATAAAGCTATATTCAATTGCAAGGGTGGGGCATATAATGGGGCAGAAAGCCACTCACCCCCCAAAAAAAATCAAAGGGAAAACAAATCAAGATTCCAGCTAGTCTTTGCTGCTTGAGCGTGCAAGCTTTAGAGGGAAAAGAGGGAAGCCATTCCAAAGTCACACTAGCCAGCTCCAGACAAAGTCACTTTTCTTTCCCTGTTGTGGAACGGGATGAATGACACACTTTTGAGTAGTTAACCAGGACTAGAGAAAACCCAACAGTAAATCTTCAGGATTTAATACACTTGGAGATGTGGAGAATATGCCTGAGAAAACAGCAGCCACGCTTCATCTTGCCTTTTTTTTTGTTGTTTTTAATCTTCCCTTCTCGCTCTGGCTCTCTACTGCTACATATTTATTCATTAAGTTTTCCATGTCACATTTCAGTTCCTGACTAATGTCCTATTTAATCACTCATTTAAAGATTCATGCAAGTCTTTTTCTTAGGGTACTTCTCTCTCTGGCTTTGTTGAGATCTGAGGAGTACAACACTGAATATGGTGCCACGAACTTTTACAAATATGTATGTGATTCTGAGGTGTTAGTCAGAAACTGTGTAAAATTGTAACATTCTTTCTCTAAATGACCACAGAAAGCAACAGGAAACAGAGCTTTTAACTCCAAACAGAGACAACAGGGCTATCCACATGTTTACAGAAGGCTGCAAGTCATGATAAATAGTGCCAAAAAGAGTTCTTCTAAAAAGTACTGCATTTAAATAACAGTTCGCTACCCTTGAACACAACTGCCACCCAACTGGCAAATCAGATCTTAAAAGACCCAAATCTCCAGTTCTGGTGTTTTCCTATTTGTACGCAGAAACAAGCAAAGTCAGAAGAATGGGAACAACCACAGATGGTGAAAAGCAGTGAAAGGTGCAAAGTCTCCAGACTCGTGAGGGTGCACACCTAAACTGACCTACTACAACCCACAAAATCTAAAAAATAAACTAAACTAAAATAAAATATTCTCAGCCACTGGTTTCTCACGCTACTAGTACTAGAGCAGAGATCCCACGACTCCTTCCTACAGCCCTAATTACAGAGACAAGGTCACAAAAGACACAATCTGCCAACATGAGCTGCAGGAGGTCATATGGCCACTCAAGCTATAAAAGTATTTTAAGAGTAGTTCAGTCAGGTCACTTAACTGACGTTTTCTGGGGGTTGTTTTCTCAACAAGCAGCAATATTTTCCCTTATATTTTCAGGATGGGAGAACAGGAAGCAGGATCTACTCCTTAGTCACCAGTCTAGGATTTCAGTATTCATCACTAACAATGTCACAGAGAGGTCATGCCTAGCTGCCTTTTGTAGGTCTACAAAAGTCCACAAAAAAAACGCTGAGAACGAGCCTCAGCCCAACAGTGATGGTGGGATGGAACATTGTCAGCTTTCAAATGTTCAGATCACAGGAAGAAGTCCTGCACTACGTTAACCAAGAAGTGGCATATATTATCTGCAATGCCCCACAACAAAGCCTCATGTGATAGAAACTGCCCCAGAAGCACATCAGAAAAGCAGTGCACAGTCCTCAAACTTACTTCAACTCTCTGACTTATAAGGAAGTTTCTTCTGCTTGATGCTACGGAGCGCTTTGATGGGTTTCATAACCACCAGACTATCTGAAGGCCCAAAGGATCAGCAGTCTGGAGACTGCTGCTTGTTGAAGGTGGAAAGAAACCAGAAACAGGACAAGAACTTACTGTAAGAAAGACCCATGCAATTCTAGGATTAGTTCTAGGAGACAGAGTTTCAATTCTTGTCATTCTCCTTCAAAGGATGATTAAAGAGACCTAATTCTCCAATTCTTCCAGTTCTCATTCCTCTTCAAAAGAATGTTTGAAGAGACCAGATTTGACTAAATGCTAACATGCAACAGCTGAGTGTCAGCAGTAGCCAGCTCACCTGAAAAAGAGGAGTTGAAAGGTGGCATGCCACAAATGGCGCACTGTGCAAAGTCACTCTTATGAGCTACAGCCTATAAAACACTGACTCTGATTCCTAACAGTCACATGTACACACATCCCCCCCAGCTCTTTTAAACAGACTTTTGCGGTTTGGCAAACAGTCAGATTAAACAGAGGGTACATGAAGTTGAGCAGAGAATGTTCTCAGTATGTAGCTGCCTCTCCAGGTCATAGATCATAAAAATCCTTATATTTTCTAGGATCAAAGAAGCTACAGCCATAAAAGACCTATTAGTTCATTAAGCCCATCACCCAGCCAAAGCAGGTTATCCAGAAAAGACGTAACAAAGTTAAAGTAATACTGTGAGAACAAGCTGAGCAAATTTCTCTTTGAAAAAAAGATGCTAAGCCAAGTCAGATACGAGAACTAGATCTGGAAGTTAAAATTCCATTTTCTTTTTAAGAAATAAGCAAGCACATTTCCGCAAGGCAGCTATAAGACACTAACCTACATCTAATGATGTGGCTCTGCCATGAAGCCCCTGTGACAGCCCCTCTTTCTCACTCCCAGTTGCAAATTTCCATCTCCAGATACAAAAGCTTTTTCAGTGCACAGTTCAGTAAGAAAATTACTTCGGAGCCCTGGTGCTGAAAATCCATCAAAGCACAATCTCCAAATTCTCTCACACACCCCACCCCCCCCCCCCCCCTCGCAGCACAGGGGGCAAAAAAAAAAAAATCAAAGAAGAAAAAGAAAAGACACAGTTTGGCTCCCACTGGCCTGCAATAACAATAACGATAATAATCTAGAGATCGCAGGAGGTTCATCTACCCTGCATGCCAAGTCAATTCGCTCTGTTCACAACTGTGTATAATTGTTCCTGGGACTGCAAAAATTACCGTCTTTTCACTAGCAATCAGAATTGCACAAACACTTTCGAACAACTGCAAAGCCTTATTTGATAAGGCAAAACTATTTGCTCTTTTACGGTTCAAGTTAGGTCTGGCATTTCTGTGCTGAGGGTCAATAATCCAGTCGTTCAAAAAATAGTCACGAAAGACGTATTAACATAAGCTGTGCATTAAGACACAATTATTTATATGCCTGACAGTAATGGCTCTGCACTGTGCACTGTATCAACTCACAGATACTTTAGCAGGAAAATAAAACACTTTTGGAGAATTTCTGCTCTACCCAAGGACAATTAGCCTAACGCTAATGCTATAACAAGAGAACAATAAGAACTGACAGTGTTCCGACTAATGGTTCATCACAGAGTCTCCAGAACAGCAGTGTCTGTCCCTAAAGTTTGTAGCCATCACAGCATGTTTCCCTTTGCTAAGCACACATAGCCTGTGCCTAATGCTCCCCCAATCCTTAGATTAATGAAATACAGGTAAACAGTTTCAAGATGCGTTATCCACAGCTACAAAACCTGCCCGGCTCGGGGTACCAAATAAAATCGGTCGCTTTGCCTGCCACCAGCCACTGCCCCCCGAGCAAAGGGAACTCCCCTCGTCCCTCAGATAGCGGGGAAACCGCTCCGGTTCGTGCGGGCGGCGCCTGTGGCACTGCCTCCGAACGGCAGGCGGTACCTCCAGGGCAGCTCTGCTGAACCGCTTCGTTTTGATTTCAGCCCTGTACAGGTCGCACCAAGACGGGGCAACGGGAAAAGTTAGACGGGACAGCGTCAAGTCTAACCCGACCCCAGAGTTTAAAGACTGCCGCCGCAGCTTGGCTGGGACTGGAAGGCGGGTTCGCCTTCAAAGGAATAAACACCGTCCGGGCTGAGCGCAGCAACGAAAAAACCGGTAACCCCTCGGGAGGGGCGGCGGGGAGGCGGAGCGGGGCATACACCCGGGCGGCAGCCGCTTTGCCTCCTCCCGCCGGAGGGAGTGCGGACAGCCGCGGGGGAGCGGCCCCGAAAGGGCTCCAGAGAGGAGAGGCGACAAGACGGCAACCGACGTCGCGAGCCGACCGCTGAGGGGTCGGTCCCAACCGTCGCGAGCCGACCGTTGAGGGGTCGCGAGCCGACCGTTGAGGGGTCGCTCCCAACCGCCGCGAGCCGACCGTTGAGGGGTCCCAGCCGCCGCCCCCTGTCCCCCAAGGATCCCCTCCCGCTCTCCCCTGGCCGGGCGCCCCTCAGGCAGGGCGGCGGGGGGCTCTGCTCGCTGCGGGGCCAGGCTCTGCAGCCGCGGAGCCCCAGCCCCCGGGAGGGAGCGGACCGGCAGGTGGGCTGCCGCGGGTCACCCCGACTCCGTCC